GAGTGGCGGCCGTCGCCCTGGCTGTTGCACTGAGCACCCTGGTGACTGCTGGCCGCCGTCATGGCGGTGGAGGCCTTGGTGGGGGCCCTGATGGCGGTGCTCTTGACAGCATTGGCCCTTGTGGCCGTCATCCTGGTGGCCGCCCTTGTGTGGTTCAGTGCCTTGTGGGCTGTGACACTGCCCCTAATGGCGATTTATATCAGTATTAGGGAGATACATTCTGTTTGGTAGACTGGGAGTGACTGCAGTATTGTGGGGGCCTTCCTATGATGGTAATAAAATATCAGTTTCTCTAACTTAATGGCTTTATTGACCATTGGCTTTATATCCCCAAAATATATTTGATGAATGCATCTTTCACCATTCAACTTTTTAAAAATACTCTTTTGCTGACAATGGAATCTACAAACTAATTGACCAAGTAGCTCTTAAACCATAACAGGCGTAAGACAAAGTTATTATTTTGCCTACACATGGGATTTTTGAGAAAACAATCATCTGTCTTTAGAAAGAAAAAGGTACACTTTAGTGGTTTAAGATCATTACTATTATCTGAGGAGTAGTGTGAGTCTGTGGTGCTCCTTTCTATTTGAGACCACCAAAAATATGAAGAATTTTATCCTTTTTCATCATTGCAAGTTTGATTTCCAGGAGACTTAATGCTGCAATCTCCAAGTCTCATTTTGGGATATATAAAATACCTTTTATGGTGAGTGCTGGAGAGTTCCTGCTAGAGCTGATCTACTCTCTCATTTCTCTTTAAAACCAGAGGATCTTGTTCATTTACAGTGAGAGAAGCATGAGATGCTTTTGTTTACTGTTAAATGTAGCTTCTTAAACATTTTCCCTTTTTTCTACACCGCAAATTACTGTTTCTCTTTTTCTATACCTCCTTTAGGCAAGATTTTGGGATTAAAATTGTGCGTGGTAGTAGAAACCAAAGGAGCTCTGGTGGCACAGTCGTTAAAGCAATCGACTGCTAACCAAAAGGTCCAGCCACTAGGTGGGAGACAGATGTGGCAGTCTGCTTCTATAGAGATTTACAGCCTAGGAAACCCTATGGGGTCACTATGAATTGGAATTGACTCGACAGCAGTGGGTGGGTGAGAGTAAAAACCACTGGTACAGAAACTATAGTTTGATGTTTCTGTTATTTGCTACTGATTGTTAGAAAAGTTGGAGCCATCAATAGTATTGTGCATTTTCTGGACAGTGTCCAGTGTCTAAAATTACAAAGTCTTCGTGTTTGTCTAGTTGTTTATCCTGTACCTCTTTTTGAGCTTCTATTCTTTTTACTGTGGCTACTCTCAAGATACTTGTAATTTGGCTATTCTTGTTATTTTTCTATTTTGTTTTTTGGTAACTTTCTTTAATATTAATGGCAAATTTCATTTCAGATATACTGGATTTCTCTCTTAAAATGAAATAAGAACTGAAAGTTTTTTTTGTTTGTTTTCTCTTGCAGAAAAGTCCACCATACATTTTGTCTCCAATTCCATTCCTTGGACATGCAATAGCATTTGGGAAAAGTCCAATTGAATTCCTAGAAAATGCATATGAGAAGGTAAGTACTAATTTAGAGTACTTTTCAAATGTGTCTTAGTTTCCTAGTCCTGCTGTAACAGAAATTCCACAAGTGAGTGACTTTAAAGAACAGAAATGTATTTTCTCAGAATTCTGGAGGGTAAAAGTCCAAATCAGAGTCTCCAATGTGGGATTCCTTCCTTGTCGGTAGCCCCAGGTGTTCCTTGGTTCCTTGGCAATTCTCACATAGCATCTGTCTTCCCTCATGTGTTTGTACATGTCTCTGTGTCTATGCTGCTCTTTATATAACTTAGAAGTGATTAGGTTTAGGGTCTACCCTACAGTGGTATGACCTCAACTGATTGACTCTAATGCATTAGGGGAAGTAATTATATTATATTACATTACATTACATCCACAGGTATGTTGTTGTTGTTAGTTGCCATTGAATTTATTCCAACTCATGGAGATCCCATGTGTTACAGAGTAGAACTGCTCCACAGGGTTTTCTTGGCTGTAATTAAGAGAAGCAGATCGCCAGGCCTTTTCTTCTGTGGTACCTCTGGGTGGGTTCGAACTGCCAACATTTAGGTTAGCAGTCGAGCGTAAACTGTTTGTACCACATAGGGACCTTTTTTAAAGATTACAGCCTCTTCATCAATAAATTCATGTCACTAATCCAATGAACATGACCTCTCAGCTATATTCTTCACTGATAACCATTGCCTGCTTCTTAAAATACCCACTTCCTATAGCTTTTATCTTGTTTTTTTTCCTATCTCTTTGACTGCTTTTTTTATAGCTCATTTGTGGGCTTATATCTGGCCACTGAGTTTTGGGGTTCTCTGAGGTTCAGTCCTTGGTCTTCCGCTAGTCTCATCCTTTATTCTTTCCTAGGCAGTCTCATCCATACTTATAACTTCAATTACTAGATGACACCAAGTTAATTTCTCCAGCTCAGGTCTCTTCTCTGAGTTCCAGACCAACTCTCAAACTCTGAAGTGACTGTTTCTTGGTTGTCTCAAAGGCATTTGAAATCCAACTTTTCTAAAGTCTTAACGCCTGATTTTTCTCTCCCCAGTCTTGGTTGTCCTATTGTGTTCTCGTTCTCTCTTTCTAAACACTACCATCACTCATACAGTTTTGTAAAGCACCAGAAGCCTAAAATTTATTCTTGATACTTCCCTATTCCTCATTATCAATCCATGGCCAAGCATGCAGATTCTGTCTCAAAATCATTTAGTATCTGTTTGCTTCTGTCTCCACTACCCCACCATTGCCTTATACCAAGCGTTCATCATTAGGTTCTCACAATAGGCTCTAACTGGTCCTCTGACATCCCTTCTGCCCCCATTTCTCCATCCTCTCCACATAGCAGGCAAGAATTTGTCTTTTTAAATACACCTAGATTAGTGTGTCTTTCCATGCAGTTTTAAACTCTTCCATGGCTTCACATTGCTTGCAAGTAAAAAAATTTCTTAATGTGGTCTGTGAGGCTCTGCATGGTCTAGGTCCTGCCTGCCTCTCAACCCTCATCTAGCCTCATTCTCCCCTTCGTTTTCTCTCACCTTTAGGACCTTTGTGCATGCTTGGCCATCAAGCTAATTCCTACTCATCTTTTAGGTTTCAGCTCAGGTGTCTCTTCCTCTCTCAAGTTGTCTCCCTTTTGCAGATTCTCTCATCACAGAGTTGCTCATTGTGTAATACCTGTCACATTTGCAGTTTCACATTTGCAGAGCCCTGGTAGTGCAGTGGTTAAGCTCTTGGCCACTAACTGCAAGGTCAGTGGTTTGAACCCATTAGTGGCTCTCCAGGAGAAAAGACCTGGTATTCTGCTCCCATAAAGATTGTAGCCTAGGAAACCCTATGGGGCAGTTCTACTCTGTCCTGTAGGGTCACTATAAGTCAGAATCAACTTGACAACACTATGTGATTTTTGAGTAATTTGCATCTTTTCCAATAGACTAAGCTTCATGAGACAGGGACAGTGTATCCCCAGAGCCTGCCTCGCCCAGTTAGTCTTAAATAATAATCAGAAAACTGCAAGGGAAGCATTTTATACCAAAGCATGTTAGCAAGTATAATAAATGAAACCACTCATTATTGGTGAGAACATGGTAAAACTGATACTAAATAAACTTCTGGTGTTCTCATATAGCAAGCAGTATAAAAGTGATGATATCCTTTGGCTACTCCTGTAAATTTATTTTTAACTAAAGAAAAAAATTCTGTAGTCTCAGAGATGTTCATTGTAGAATTATCTGTAATAAGTAAAAAAAACTGACAAGTCAGTCATATATACAATAATAGAATAGTTCAGTAAATTGACATTATGGCGTTTTGTAAAATATAGAAAATATTTTCAATGTAAACAGTGAAAAAACAGAAATTGTACTTACACTACAGTTGCAACTAGGTGAGCATAATAAAAAATTTGGACAAAGACTAGAGAGAGGGAGCATGGCAAAATGAAAAGGATTGCATTAAGATTTATGAATGTTTTATTTTTTCAAAAACACAGGATCTTGGTTTTAAAAAATGAGAGCCTTAATGCTATGTTTTTTTTTTTTTTTTTTAACACCACTGTGGATACTTTTCTCTCTAGTATGGACCTGTATTTAGTTTTACCATGGTGGGCAAGACGTTTACTTACCTTCTGGGGAGCGATGCTGCTGCACTGCTTTTTAATAGTAAAAATGAAGATCTGAACGCAGAAGATGTCTACCGTCATCTGACAACGCCTGTTTTTGGAAAGGGAGTTGCATACGATGTGCCTAATCCAGTACGTGACACACTGTTGAAGACAGATCTCTACTGTAACAATTATAGCTAGTAATGTAAATATTATAAATTTAGAATGTAGAAACAATATATTTCTTGGTTTAAAAATCTGAAGAGTCACGCGAAATTTAGGAGAAGAGAAGCCATGGGTGACTGACAAGGAATGGACATTTTGTTTTATAATGGCTGGCTTGGAGGGCTAAGCAGTTATAAAGACTTTCTATACAGATAAATAGAATGAATGGTAACTTAGCATATTGGAATTTGATTTGAGCAGGTAACTAGAAAATCCTATTATTTTACCGAAAGGGCTTCCTGCTTACCTACTCCTGCCTGAAATTCTAGCATAAGAGCTCTTTTGAGTTAGGGATTCCAAGCTATAGAACTCCTCTTTTAAAATGCAGCTCCTTTGGGTATGAGTATGTTTCTGTGATTTTTTGTTTTCCCCCCAGAAGTCAAATACTAAAGTGATGTAAGTTGATCTAGAACACAGTAGGTAATTGACCCAGCTGCTTGGTATGGACTTTCGATGTGTCACTAGTGTCACTGTTAAAAGTTGACATAAGTGTTTATTCTGGGAATGCGCAAGGGTGGGGAGGTTCAGGGAGAGGAGGGGAAGTGGCTTTCCTTAAGGCCAAAAGCAAGGGTCTGGAAAATTTCTCTGTTCGAATGTCTATTTATTTATTCATAAAGCTTATCAGAGTCGTAAAGTACAAATGACCTGAAGTGTTAAAACCATTACTTGTTTTAGTGTGAATTTATTTTCTTCAGATTATTAAACTTCTGTAGTATCATTGAGGAATGTTGTTTATTTGGGAGTAGAATGGGAGAATATGTGAAAGAGTATAAAAATAATATTAAAGCATAATGGACCTTTGGGTGAATGAGTTGGCATCTTGATTGAGTTGGAAGGCTTGACTGAGTTGGATAACCAGAAATAGAAAAGGAAGTCCTGGAGTCAGGAGTGGGAAAAGGGTATATAGGATGGAAGGCAGCAGGTAGGATTCCTAATTTGTCATCGGTCTAGGGCCCTGGCAGCAGGTGCCTTCTACATGTTACTTCAAATATGTGCAAAAAAGCTGTAAGTTTTCCATATCTGGTGCACTTTAAAAAAAAAAATTTTTTTTTAATCGTACTTTAGATGAAGGTTTACAGAACAAATAGTTTCTCATTAAATGGTTAGTACACATGTTGTTTTATGACACTGGTTAACAACCACACAACATGTCAACACTCTCCCCTCTTGACCTTGGGTTCCCTATGACCAGCTTTCCTGTCCCCTCCTGCCTTCTAGTCCTTGTCCCTGGGCTATTGTGCCCATTAGTCTCATTTTATGGGGCTTGTCTAATCTTTGGCTGAACGGTGAACCTCAGGAGTGACTTCATTACTGAGCTAAAAGGGCATCTGGGGGCCATACTCTCGGGGTTTCTCCAGTCTCTGTCAGCCGGTAAGTCTGGTCTGTTTTTGTGAGTTAGAATTTCGTTCTCATTTTTTTCCAGCTCTGTCCGGAACCCTCTGTTGTGATCCCTGTCAGAGCAGTCAGTGTTGGTAGCCGGGCACTGTCTAGCTGTACTGGACTCAGTCTTGTGGAGGCTGTGGTAGTTGTGGTCCATTAGTCCTTTGGACTCATCTTTCCCTTGTGTTTGTTTTCTTCATTCTCCCTTGCTCACAAACGGGTGAGACCAGTGGATTATCTTAGATGGCTGCTCGCAGGCTTTTAAGACCCCGGATGCTATTCTCTGGTGCACTTTTTGACAAGGTTTAATTTTTTTAATTATTCAGTAAGTTGTTTTCATTGTGAGTTACAGTTATGGTAATCCAGATGGATCTTGTGATAAAACAAAAATGTGTTGTAATGCTGTACATCCTTAATTTCTTGAAGGTTTTCTTGGAGCAGAAGAAAATGTTAAAAACTGGTCTCAACATAGCCCACTTTAGACAGCATGTTTCTATAATTGAAAAAGAAACAAAGGAATACTTTGAAAGTTGGGGAGAAAGTGGAGAAAAAAGTAAGTGGAGGAAAAAACATTTTGCATTTGTCCTAATATTTCTGTTTTTCTGTGAATAGAAATGTAAGTTTGTGTGTGTGTATAAAATAAGCTACAATGCATGTAAAACCACCTTGGATGTAATGAAAGGAGCATGTTATAATTACCGTGGAGTTAAAAAAAAAAACCTGAGAGTAAGTGATTATTTCTGCTCACTTAGCAAAACCCTAAAATAGGTTAACATGCATATTATTCAGCTTATCTGTGCAAGGGATATAGAAACAATTCAAGATTAAATTTTGAAATAAGCTGAAGGTAAGAATTGGTGCCAGGTCACTTTAAGATAATAAGTAAAAATTAAAAAAATTACCCCCAATGAGCAAGTAAAATTTCCAGCAGTTTAATTATACAGGTAGTGCCTTTTTTATCTAGTATTGTATGAGACTGATTTGTCAAAAAAAAAATTTAAATAACATAAACTTGTTCTTCCACCAAAAGTTTGATTTTGGCCATTTCCGATAGAAATCTTTTAAAACGTATTATGTGCTTTCTTATGTTATATAGAGAGTATATTGAGTGTAACTTGACATTCAATTTACAAGTGGATGTGGATGTACTGTGAACCTAGCCTTTATGCTGGATTGCAATAAGTATTGCCTTCAGAGGCAATTGCCATGCCCATAGCAGGAAGCAACATCTGCCCACAGGGTAGCAGGACCTCTGTGTAGGTCACCACATTCTGAGTGTGATCTTCAGTTTTTATAAAAGGTCCAGAAACTCAGTTTTAATTTTAGTATACCTAAAGCTGATATCATACACTTTTAACCATACAAGAAGCTGATATGTAAACTTGAATGCTGATTAAATAAATACAAGTGAGACATACTTGTACATCAAGAAGACCAGAATATTTGCTGATCTTCCCTTTACTGGAAAATCTAACTGAAAAGCCAAATGATAATTGGAAGTTTATTTGAGAGCATGGAATTAAAGAAGAGAGAATTGGATGATCTTTATGACTTCTGAGTGTCATCATCAATATGTGCTTTGCTTGTCTGACGCATCTGCCTCCACTGCGGGAAATACCAGTGGGTGATTAGTTACGGTTTTCTTTTACATATGGTCAAGGCTTCAATTTTTAGTCTTGATCTTCCTGCTTTTGACCTGTGAGATCATCCTATCTTTAATTTTTGGATGTCCATTCCTTGGGAAGCACCTCATTATTGCTCTCATATGTACTAAATAGCCTTAGACTTATAACTTATTGAGTTCTCTGTTTCATTTTATGTTTGTCTCTGTACCAGGCTGTTGGTGGCTGCTGTTATTGTACCTGCTTCTAGCAGCCAGCCCACTTGCCGTAATTCCTTTTGCTGCTTTTGATATACTGTAGCCTAGCAGTCAGATAACCACATTCATTTTTGTCTTTTCAAGATGAAGAAGGGCTCCTTAGAACATGGCCTTTGTGGCATCTGTTTTAGCTGCCCAGAGTGGTGGAGTGCTTCCTGTCATTTGGTTTATTGGCTTTCTTCAGTGTTCTGCAACATGTGTGTCTGTAGACTTTTTTTGTTATATGAATAGGATCTTGTTGGTTCCAGTTAAGTTTTGGTCTCAATTTTTTTTCAAAATGCTTTTATATTACCAAGAAGACAGAATGTTTTAAAATAATTTTTTTGAACAATAATGGGAGTGATCTTTTCCCCCTTAGATTTGTTTGAAGCTCTTTCTGAGCTAATAATTTTAACAGCTAGCCATTGTTTACATGGAAAGGAAATCAGAAGTCAACTCAATGAGAAGGTGGCACAGCTGTATGCAGATTTGGATGGAGGTTTTAGCCACGCAGCCTGGCTGTTGCCCAGTTGGCTGCCTTTGCCAAGTTTCAGGTATGGAACTTATCAACAAATCAAGATATTATACTTGGTTATTTAACTTTGCATAATTACTGTAGTGTTGGTATGCTTTGCTTTAACAAACTTAAAAATTAAACTAATTGTTATAGATTGAATTGTGTCTCCCCAAAATATGTGTCAACTTGGCTAGGCCATGATTTCCAATCATGTGTGGTTGTCCTCCATTTGTGATCTAATGTAATTATTCTCCATTTTGTGATATGTTGTAAATCCTAACCTCTGTGGGGTCGATTTTGACTCTATAGGACAGAGTAGAACTGCCCCATACGGTTTGCAGGTAGCAGCTGGTAGATTCGAACTGCTGACTTTTTGGTTAGCAGCCAAATACTTAACCACTGCATCACCAGGGCTTTGTGTTTTTTTATGTTAATGAGGCAGGATTAGGGTAGGGTGTATCTTTTTTTTTTTTTTAATTGTAGTACTTTAAGTGAAAGTTTACAATTCAAGTTAGTCTCTCATACAAAAATTTATACATACATTGTTATGTGACCCTAATTGCTCTCCCTATACTGTGACAGCACATTCCTCCTATCCACCCCTGATTTCCTGTGTCCATTCAGCCAGCTGCTGACCCTCTCTGCCTTCTTATCTCACTTCCAGACAGGAGCTGCCCATTTAGTCTCAGGTATCTACTTGAGCTAAGAAGCACACTCTTTGCGGATATCATTTTATGTCCCATAGTCAGTCTAATCTCTGACTGAAGAGTTGGCCTCGGGAATGGTTTTAGTGCTGGGTTGACAGATTCGGGGGGCCATGCTTTCTGGGGTTCCTCAAGTCTCAGACCATTTTAAGTCTGGTCTTTTTACTAGAATTTGAGTTCTGCGCCCTACTTTTCTTTATGTTGTGTTCCCTGTGAGGGTGGTCATTGGTGGTAGCTGGGCACCATCTAGTTCTTCTGGTCTCGGGCTGATGCAGTCTCTAGTTTATGTGGCCCTTTCTCTTGGGCTAATGCTTTCCTTGTGACTTTGGTGTTCTTCATTCTCCTTTACTTCAGGTGGGTTGGGACCCACTGATGCATCTTAGATGGCTGCTTGCTAGCTTTTAAGACCCTAGACGCCACTCACCAAAGTAGGAAGCAGAACATTTTCTTAATAAACTTTGTTATGCCAGTGGACCTAGATGTCCTGGGTAGGGTGTATCTTGAGTCACCACCTTACAAGAGGGTGTGGCCCAAGTCATGCCCTTACTCAAATCACAGCTTTCCTTGAGTCACAGCTTTTTATCTTACAAGAGATAAAAGGAGAGAGAAGCAAGCAGAGACAGGGGACCTCACCACCAGGATGAAAAAAGAGCTGGGAACAGAACATGTCCTTTAGACTTGAGGCCCCTGCACTGAGAACCTCCTAGACACAGGAGAAAGAGAACTGTAACACCAGAGATGACACAAGTGGTGAGAAGCAGCAGCAGTGAACTGGCAGCAGCAGAACCAGGAGACTGGCAGGAGATGGCGCAGTGAGTGTGCCAACCCACAGAACGAGAGAGCTAGCCTTTGGGCAGGAGGCTTGCTGGCAGAGGAGTTACCTCCAGGCACTTGTTGGTGGACTCAAGGAGCTAGAAAACTTGCCTTTGGGCCAAGGCTCACTGGTGGAGTAGGGTGCCTCTGGGCACTTATCAGTAGAGCTGAAGAGCTTTGTAACACTTGCTCAAGCAGGGCAGGGGCTGGGCTGAGGGGCTGAGGGCCTAGAAAGAGAGGCCTGCCTGCAGGCATGACTGAGAAACTGTCCAAGGAACGCAGGGCCCACAGATGCTGAAAGGAGAAAAAAACCTTCCTCTAGAGCTAACAGAAAGAGAAAGCCTTCCCGTAGAGCCAGCGCCCTGAATTTGGACTGCTAGCCTCCTAAACTGTGAGAAAATAAATTTGTGTGGTAAAGCTGCCTACTTGTATTTCTGTTATGGCAGCACTAGATAACTAAGACACTAGTAAACAAATTGGGAGTGATTATGAACCCCCGTCATAGAAGAATTCATTATAGGTTTTTTTAATATAGTTAGCTCATTTAAGGTAAGTTTTAGTTTAATAAGAATGTCATTTATTGTCCACCTATTTTAATATTTTAAAACCTACTTGTCTCACATACCCGTTGTACTTAGTAAAGCCTCTGTCTTTACCTAAAAGTGGCACAGCCCTCTCAGCATTTGTTTGAAACAGTCTTTCACTGTTTTGTGCTGTATTGTGAAATTTCTTTGTCTTGAAGTATTAGTGCTTGTATTTAATTTTCTATTTGTATCTTTGCTAACTGTACTGTGATTTCCTTAAGGGCAGGGGTTGTCTCTGATTCAAAAAAGTCTTGCTCATAGGAGTTGACATGTAGTTTAGAGTCTTGCATATTAGTAGGCTCTCTGTACCTTTGTTGATTCATTTCTGCACAGTCAGGGATGGAAAGAAGTTAAATTGGTACCTCGTTTCTCTTCTATTTTTGCCTCCTCTATCCCTGGTGGCATAGTGGTTAAGAGCTACGGCTGCTAACCAAAAGGTTGGCAGTTCAAATCTACCAGCTGCTCCTTGGAAACCCTATGGGGCAGTTCTTCTCTGTCCTGTAGGGTCGCTATGAGTTGGAGTTGACTCTACAGCAATGGATTTGGTTTGTTTTTTTTATTTAGTTACAGAATAAAAAAGGGGTAGGAGTAAAAGCGGGAGCCAGGAGAGGTTCCATGGAGTTATCTGGAATTCATACTATCTTGTAAGGAGATTCACAGTTTCCAAACTGCTTTCATACATCTTATGTTGGAACACCCAGCACAGTACTTGGTCCATAGTGAATTCTCCATAAATGTGCTTCAAACCTATTTCTCCTGCCCTGTCTTCTGAATGAAGTTATAGTTCCTGAGCTTGGTATGATAAGCCCAGTTGTTCTCTGTTTACCCAAGCCAACTGATTTAACCAAATTATTCCATTCACTTCTTAAACTTAAAAAACACCAAACCTATTGCTGTGGATTCCAACTCATAGTGACCCTGCAGGACAGAGTAGAACTGCCCCAAAGGGTTGTCAAGCCTAAATCTTTATAGGAGCAGACTGCCACATCTTTCTCCCACAGAGCAGCTGGTGGGTTTGAACCACCAACCTTTCGGTTAGCAGTCGAGCACCCTAACCACTGCACCACCAGGGCTCCCTACTTTTTTAAATAGGCCTTGTGTTTTCCTGGTTCTGCTGTGTTCATACTCTTAAGCTTCAATGTCTTCTTTCATTCTGTGCATATTATCTTGGTTGGTCATCAGTAACAGTCTTGAAAATGAAGTAGGGCAAGAATTTTTATTAGGAGGCTTAAGAATGGGGCTTGGGAGTCAGGCTGCCTGGTTTTAAATTCCAGCTCCACTGCTCCCTGGCTATTGGGGATAATCAATAGTATTTACCTCACAGAAGGTTAAAGAGAGTAACTAATGTTAAACACTTAACACACAGTACTTGTTACAAAGTAAGCACCCAACTTTAAAGGTATAGTTTTGTAACTTGAAGCTTGTTTTCTGACTCGCCTAGTAGTTTTTACTCCTGCAAAACTATGTTATCTTAGAAAATGAAGAGGAGAATCTAGCGCTATAGAAGAACCAGAGGTATTCTCCTGCTTCAAGAGTTGATTTGGTTAAAATCAGAATTTCATGTTAAAAGAATGTTCTACTTTCTGTTGAACTAGATAATGTTTCTAAAGAAATAATCATTTGAGTCTTATTTGTTTTAGGCCTTTAGTTAGAAGACAGACAGTGTGTTAAGCATTGGGCATATAAATGTTAAAACATTGTTATTACCCATAAGGAACATAGAAATTATATCAGATAAGCTTTTCATGACTTGTTTTATCTTTTGATTCTGAGTTTTTTGTCAGTTATTTGAGTCATTAAAGTTAATTAAATAAGGTTGTTTTAAGATAGGTCTTGGTTATTTTCAAATAATTTGATGCTAGAAACTGTTGCTTATTTAAAGAAAATAATTTTCATCTTTGAATTACAGACGCAGGGACAGAGCTCATCGAGAGATCAAGAATATTTTCTATAAGGCAATCCAGAAACGCAGACAGTCAGGAGAAAAAATTGATGACATTCTCCAAACTTTACTAGATTCTACATACAAGTAAGAGCTGTTCAGATAAAATATTAAGCTGAAGCAGGAAATTACATGTTAAAACACAGTTAAATAATATTCTCAGTTAAAAAATTATACTGGTAAAACAAGTTGGTAGCTATGACCTTTGGATTTTATAAATGGAGGAGACTTACATTGCTGGAGTCCCATTCCTTACTGCAATCCCAGTGACTGGACGTGGTAGAAAGTTTGCCAGTAAACTGGCAGTGAAGTCTTCTGTAATCAAAACCATTAGTTTCTATTGGTTTCTCTCTTTTCCTTAAGGAAAAAAAAAATCTGACTTGTGATAGGCAAATGGGAGAGATAATTATTTCTGAAAAATTCATTCATTCTGACGCTTTATTGAAATGTTAGGCATGAAATGTGTCTGCCAAAATGTTAAATGTGTGTGGTTCACCCCCTAGGGATGGGCGTCCTTTGACAGATGATGAAGTAGCAGGGATGCTTATTGGACTGCTCTTGGCAGGGCAGCATACATCCTCAACTACTAGTGCTTGGATGGGCTTCTTTTTGGCCAGAGACAAAACACTTCAAGAAAAATGTTATTTAGAACAGAAAACAGTCTGCGGAGAGGATCTGTGTCCTTTAACTTATGACCAGGTTTGTTCAGTTTTCAGTTTCTTTGCAACCTTACTGCTCTGAGTATCTTTGAGTGGCTATTTCTTAAGTGGGGTAATTTGAGGTTTTCTATACAGTATAGATTAAATTGCTTAACTTCCATACTTTTAGAGAATTCCCCACAACTCTCCCTGAGATGTCTGAATTAATTTGTCCATCAAACTTTTATCAGATGTGTTTGGGTTTGGTGCCTTAGAGATCTTTGAGGTTTCTTCCTTGGTACAAACTTCCTCCACTTGAAAGTCTGGCTTCTGAGAATAGAGGATACTATGTGTGTGTTGTGTGTCTTATGAAGTATAGAAGACTCTGAATTACTCAGAATCCTACGTGCCCAGAATGGCATGTGCATTGCTTCCATGCATGGTTTCAAAAGTGGTATGATAGTAGGGTACCCAGTTTGCTGAGCTGTAAAGAAGAGACAAGACCTCACTGTACAACCTAGAATTCCGTCTTGGAAGCACACACTGGTCAAACCCTCTTCCTGTTACCTTTTTTTTTTTTTTTTGGTCCTTTATTTTATTACCATGGCATCTTACATTGATTGATTTTCAGATGTTAAATCTTGCATTCCTGGGATAAATCCTGTTGGCTATAGTTTATAACCTTTTTTATGTATTTCTGGACTCATTTTTCTAGTGTTTTGTGGATGCTTTTTGCATCAGTATTCATAAGGGATATTGTTCGTAGATTTATTGTGATGTCTTTGGTTTTGGTAACAGGATAATACTGACTTCATAGAATGAGTAGGAAAGTATTGCCTCTTTTTATATTTTTTAGAAAGATTTGTGAAGGATTGGTGTTAATCCTTCTTTACCTGTTTGGTAGAATTCACAAGGTGAAGCCATCTTGCCTGGGCTTTTCTTTGTGGGAAGTTTTTTGATTACTAATTTAGTCTCCCTATTGTCTATTTCATTTGTATTTGCTATAATTTTTCTTATTTCCTTTTTTCTGCTTGAATTGGTTGTAATTTGCTCTTCTATTTCTAGTTTCTTAAGGTGGAAGGTTAAGTTATTGAATCGATCTTTTTTCTTTTTTAAGACAGGCAGTCCCTGGGTTACAGATGTCCGACTTACAATTGTACTTGCCCTTTAATGTTCTGTAAATTTGCCCACACTTTGAAACAATTGAACCAAACGCTACTCACAAAAAATTCTTCATCACATTCACCTTCACTTGCTGCACCTGCAGCTTTTAAATCATTGGAAAGGCTTTGAGCCTTTTCTTGCACTAAAGTAGGGCTAAATAAGAACTGTGTGCACCTACTCCAACTTACCTACAAATTTGACTTAAACAGGAGCAGATCTTGTTCGTAACTCAGAGACTGCCTGTATAGGTGTTTACAGCTAAAAATTTGAACACTGCTTTTGCAGTATCCCATAGGTTTGCACTGAGAGAGCTCTGAGTCAGATCAAATCAAGTCGAACCCTGAGAATGGAGCTTTTCAGGGAGCTGCCAGATAGGTCAAATAGTGAGAGGTCTCTGTGTATGGGATTTTGGGGTGCTCCAAGCCTGTTCTGCCTCCTTTAGTAGTTGCTAGGCTGCTGGTTTCACAGCTGCAGTAGTTGCCAGGCTGTTGGTTTGCAAGGTTACCAGGGAGCTGGAGTAGGGGGGATGAGAATGGGGCAAGTTACACACCACAAAACTCACTATTCTCACCAAGATTCAGCTGTTTTACTTGAATAAACTCTGCTTGGAATGTTGGAAGCCTTTGGCTAATTTCCAGAGTTCTGAAGAAGTTTACTTAAGACAGTTTTTGCTGGAAAACTCACTGTTTTTGGAGGAGCAGATTGTTGAAGGTCCTTACTGCACCGTTTTGCAGGGTGATCTCTCTTCCTGTTATCTTGCCCTTCCTTTTTTCCTTGTTGACCATGGACAGTAATGGAACGAGATAATCTCTGCCACCCAGAAGTGGTTACTTCTGCACTTCCACCCAGAATGCAAATAATCTTATACTAACCAAAAGTTCAAAATAATTTTTTATACTGTTGAGGTATGTTAAATATTTATAAAAATCAGAAAATGTTTTCTCTTGTTAGCTCAAGGATCTAAATTTACTTGATCGCTGTATTAAGGAAACATTAAGACTCAGACCTCCAATAATGACCATGATGAGAATGGCCAGAACTCCCCAGGTGAGTCTATGGTCTACATCCCCCCTCCCCTTTTTATATATCAAAAAGAGGATATATAATAGTATCAGAGAATTTTTTTAATTAAAAAGTAAAATAATCATCACCCTTACATAATTTTTAATTTTACATATTGTAAACATATAAATATTTTTATATAATTGCATGCTAGTCTGTTTTATGCATTTTCATTTAACATTTCGGCTTTTCAAATGGAACTCTTTTTCTTCTTCTTGGTGTTAAAGGTAAAATATATTTTTTTGTAAAAAATTCAAATAGTATGGAAGCATACAAACCAGGCTTCCTGAAATTGCTACCCATACCTCCAAGGTATTACGACTGTATTTTCGATTTGTATGTGTAATTCCAACCCAACATCAGGCCATTTGGGAATAATCTTGAATGAAAATAATTTTTAGCTGGCTTAGTCACTGAGCCATTTTTTAAATATATGTGTATCTCATACATATTACTGCTTTGTTACAGAATGATATGATTATTTGAAAGAGTGTTTTTCAGTTATCTGAAGAAATGTGTTGCTTTCATTTGTAGACTGTGGCAGGGTATACCATTCCTCCAGGTCATCAGGTATGTGTGTCTCCCACAGTCAACCAAAGACTTAAAGACTCATGGGTAGAACGTCTGGACTTTAATCCTGATCGCTACTTACAGGACAACCCAGCATCAGGAGAGAAGTTTGCCTATGTGCCATTTGGAGCTGGTAAGACTACATTTTAGATCTTAAATATTTGTCTTGATAACATATTTGTTACTGTGAAAATAATCCATGTGACTTTTATGTACCAACATCTTTCCCTTTACTTATAGGGACATCCCTGCAAATTTTCATAAAAGTAGAATCTTTGGAAGTTGGAAAAAATATTTCATTTGTACTAAAGGGTATAATTTTGTGAATCCTTGTATAGTGCTCAATTACCTTCTAACCTGCCTTGTTTTTTCAGATCCAAATTTTATAGCCCCTTTTCCCCTTATCATAGTATTTAAAGCTCTTTGTGAATTTGTTCTAAAGAATTATTGGAGTTAGCACACTGTTCAGATGATTATTTCAGGCTAATATATAAACAAATTACCAGAATCCCAGAAAAAAGCAAAGGCAGCCTTTTTAAAATTAAAGCTTTTCTGGATTGTTAGTCAACTTTCTGGTTCTCTGTGAATAACCTTATGATAAAATAGTCTTTAAATTTGGGTGAGTTATGCTTAGGTTTACAAACCTGTGCATTTCTAGTAAGATCCTGAAATAATGCAGGCAGATCCTTGTTCCTACAGTAGTATCTGTAACCATAAGTATCCTGTACCTAGATTCAACTATATTCGGTGACTTATTTAGTATTTTCCAAGTAGATCATTTTAGTAGTGGATGACTTTTTTGTCAATGGTCACATTTTCCAAATATAAAGTCTTTTGGGAACTTAATAACTTAGTTTAATAAACAAATTTATTAATACGATATGGAATCCTGGTGGCACAGTGGTTGAGAGCTTGGCTGCTAACCCAAAGGTCAGCAGTTCGAAACCACCAGCCGCTCGTTGGAATCCGTATAGGGCAGTTCTGCTCTGTCCTGTAGCATCAGAATCAACTCGATGTCGATGGCAATGAGTTTTTTTTTTTGTATATAACATAACATAAAGGAATTATAGATTGTAATCATTGGTAGGGGCATTAGTTCTGCTACAAAGAAGGAATCATTTCTAAAATGGTAATTATCTGGCTTCCACTTGAACTTTTCAGATGATTGGTTGCCCACGTACCTTATATGGCAGCTCATTCCATTTTTGGACAGCTTTCATTTTCACAGTATATTGAAACTGAAATCTGTTTCCTTTTAACATCCCATGTACAATTGTTCCTAATTGTGGTCTCTGAAGCTATGTAGTGTATCTCTCTTGAGATACTTGAGTGCAGGTACAGTAAAATCTGTGAAAGCCAGAAACTGTAAGGCAGGAACCTGTCGAAAAAGGAAAACTTGAATATTTTCCATTGAAACAAGTAATAGAAGAGTGGTAAGACTATACTCTGTCAAAGGCGGAAAACTTGCGAGACCCGGAAAAACAAGGCAGACCAGTTGAGTTCTGGCTCTCACAGGTTTCACTGTATAATGTTCCCTCAAATCTTTCTTTCATCATCATATTAAATGTCTCTAATTTTTTGTAATAAATTGTGCTACTTATCTATGTTGGTGCATATAATGTAGTTTATTCATTTTTGTATTACATTTTGTGAATTATCAGTATTTATACATTGTTTTGTTGATTCATAGTTAGAATACTTTGTTGCTATTAAAAATAGTCTTCCTGTAAGCTTCTCCTTAGTTGTTTATATTCAAATATGGACCAATTTGTAAACATGCCTCTAAAATGTGGCTTCTAGAACTTAGTGCCATTATGGGCTGAGCACTTTGCTGAGCACTTTATGCTAATTCTCCCCATTTAATCCTCACCACCACACTACGAGGAAGGTAGTATTATATTCATTTTTCAGAAAGGAAACTAAGGCTTACAGGGATTAACTTTTCTCAGTTCCAGTTTGGCCTGTTATTTTGTGTTCCCTGAAAAGTTATTTTGTTGTTGAGCTGACTACTTTGTGGGGTTTTGATAAGAGGGAGAGGTTGGAAGGTGTGAGTTCTTTCTGGCTCAAATATTTCTAATATGATTTTTTATGAAGTTTATCTCACCTTCTAGTGAACTTTCACCTTTTATGAAGTTTATCTGACCTTTTTAAAAATACAAATTATATTTTATATTATTAAATTTTCTCCAACATAAAATGTTTCCATCAGAAGAATTTTATACCCATATACTCACTACCTAGATTCTTCTATTAACATTTTACTGTACTTGTTTTTTATCACATATATACCCATCCTTCATCTTACTTTTTTTTAGATGCATTTCAAAGTCAATTACACACATCAGTACACTTCCTAAGTACTTCATCATGGTTGTCATTAACTAAAGTTCAGTATTTTTTAGTTATCTTTTGAGATAAAATTTACAATATGCCCAAATCTTGATATTCATTGAATTTTGACAAATGAATACACTTGCATAATTTCAATTGAGTGATTTATTAATTTTTTATGGTTATTGCTTTCTGGTCCTGTCTACCCCAAGTCATGAAGATACTCTCTTTTTCTCCTCTGTTAACATTTGATGGTTTTCACATTTATGTTTTGGTCTGTGCTCCATTTTGAATTAATTTTTGAGTGTGGTGTGAGGTTAAGAATTGGGGTCTTTTTTCCCTCATGTAGATATCTAGTTACTTCAGCATCATGTGTTGAAAAGACTTTCTTTAGTGTCTTTGTTGATAATCAAATAACCATGTAAGTACTTCTGGGCTCATTGTTCCCGCTTGTTGATCATTAAGCGGGTACCACATTGTCTTGGTGGCTGTAGCTTTATAGTAAGTCTTGAAGTTGGACACTTGAAATACCCCAACTTTGTTCTTTTTCAAGGTTCTTTGGCTATCCTAAGTCCTTTGCATTTTTGTATACATTTTAGAATCAGCTTGCAAATTTCTTTGTATATATGACCTTTTGAATTTTTATCTCAGTATATGTATTGCTGTTTTGGGTTTTTGACATCCCTTTTTCCTCTATCAGATATCATTTGTAATAGCATTTCAAGTTTTGATTGGAATATGCATACTGACTTTTAACCAGAGTGTCAAACTGGTTTGTGGCAATTTGCATTTCCACCCCAGATATACTGAATCAGAATCTACTGTTTAACAAAATTCCCAGGTGATTCTTATGTATAACTTCCTGGGAACATGTTAGAAGTGCAAATTCTCAGTGGGGGTTTGAACAGAATGAACCAGTTTGAAGCCCTGCTTTTAACTAGGGCCTTTGAGGGACAGAGCTAAGAATGCTTCTAGTATATTCCCAAACTTGATTACCATACTGTGATTTAAATCTTACATGTATTTAACCTGGATAGATGTTAAATTTCAAGAACAGTAATTGGAAAAGTCATTACATAATTAGTTAAGAGGCTTTTCTCTAAAAACAGACACTGGAAATGTCTACGATTATTTTATATTTATGTATTTTATGTATGTATAGCATCTACTATTCATCTAAACTGTAGATACAGTTTACCACTCTAGGCTAAAAGAAGTGAGAGAGAAGAATTTAAACTGAATCTTACAAAAACTTTTTTTTTTCAGGGCGTCATCGTTGTATTGGGGAAAATTTTGCCTATGTTCAAATCAAGACAATTTGGTCCACTATGCTTCGTTTATATGAATTTGATCTCATTGATGGATATTTTCCCAGTGTGAATTATACAACCATGATTCACACCCCTGAAAACCCAGTTATCCGATACAAACGAAGATCAAAATGAAAAAGGTGGCAAGAACTAATGTGTGAAACATCACTGTCAGCTGCAAAACCATTTACAGATGACGTTTATGAAACAACTCCTAGTGTACTGTTTTTTGAGTGTATAATTTAAAGATAATGGTTTAAGATTTTTACATTTTATTAACTGAATGATTCCACCAATTCTGGTGGTATTTCGAACATTTTCTAATAGTTTATGATGAATACAGTCGTCCCTTGGTAGCTGTGGGGGATTGGTTCCAGGACCCCCACGGATACCAAAATCCGAGGATACTCAGGTCCCTTATATAAAATGGGGTAGTATCTGCATA